GAAAGAGCAACTTGCGTATCATGTGAATGCAGCTTAAGTCCACGTGGCAGTTCACTCCACTTGTGTGTTATGACAACAAAGCACGCTGCGTCCTTTGCCATTTGATTGAAGCCCTCTAGGCCTGCACTAGACTGATCACAAGCACACTGTGCAGTGTTCTGTATGGAAGCCTTTATAAAGATCATCTCAGCAAAGTTCTGAGCTCCAGAGGAAGTAGTTTGAGCAGAAACGTTTAAATTACTGGGGTTTTTCCAAGGAGTTTGGTGGCCAAGACTTCTGTTTCCTGCCATAAATGGCAGTCTGAAATAAAGTCAAAGCAGATAAGATGATGTCAAATTTAAACGGATTTCATATTTTTTTATTGGCCTTTCCTTTGGGTGGCTAAAATGTATTTTCTCCATCTGAACAAAGCTGTCTGTTTCAGAGGAAACCAGAGGAGAGTCCATTGAAGGAGGAGGGCGTAACGAAGAAGCTGAAGCAGAACGACGGTCAAGCCAACGGAGTTGACAAAGCCAACGGACACTAACGGACATGTTGACCTCAAGACGTAAGAGTTATGGTCACGACAACAACCTGGTCACAAAACCGTGTTGTCAGAACAAGTGATTCAGTGCACAGGATTGTTTTTGAGTCTAACCTACACTCTATGTATCTGAACTTTAGAAGAATTCCCCCAACAGGCCGAGCTCTTCCGTCCCGATGCTGTAAATATTGTTTGTCTGTGAACTTTGTGTTTGTTCACGTATGTAACCTATAAAGAGAAATTAAAAATATAATTTCATAAATCTTGGATCTCTTTTTTTCCTTGAAAGAGTTGCTCAGTGGGTTTATTTTTTTACTCCAATAAAAGAGTAGTACAATGTCATTAGCAGAAGGAACCCAAACAATTTACCCGTTACATTTTTAAAAGGAAAAAAATAAATGTGAAAACTATTGGTTGCGATCAGTCGTGGAAGAAGAACTAAGATCCTTAAGTAAAAGTACAAATATATTTGTCTTGTACTACAAGTGAGATCTCGATTTCAAAATTGACTTTAGTAAAAGTATTAGTTCTGCACCAATAAGTATTGAGCTAAATGTACTTCAAGTATCAAGGGTACAAGTACTATTGCAGGCTCTTTACAGTATTATAGTTTGTCAATGTAGAGTCAAAATACTTGTCGCTGAAATGTAGCAGAATAATGTAAAAAAAGTACAATACTTGAGTGAATGTACAGTTACTGTGGAGCTTCACATTATCAGCATAAATATGAATGCAAGTGCTGCTGATTTAAACCCAGAGACAAAGTATATTTATGCCAACCACAATGCTGAGACCAGATGAAGGGAACATAGGGGTTTTATCCCTTGCAGGCCATTTACATGCACTAAAACCTATAGAACGACAGAAGAGGGAAAACCCATAGTATGCAGCTTTAGGATCCATGTTGTGAAATAGACAGAATATGGTTAAAGTATTATCTGATCAATGTATTCAAATTTAAGTTATATAGGGGCAATAGCCTGGAAACATTTTACCCCCGGTGGTGAAAATAATTAAAGGTGGGGTATGTAATTTTTCAGTAACACTTGTTATATTCCATGGAATACTCCCAACATCCCGGTAGCAATGAATATCTTAAGTGCTTTGACATTAAATACATAAAAAAATTCATCTTTGGAAGCCGTAGCACTGTAAAAAGCACGACCAATCATCTGAGCCGGCCCGGCTAAAATAACTGGATGGCCTGCCTGTCAGCCTTCCATCTGTGCACAAACTTATCTTGTGCCCTCATTGGTCATGTGTGTGTTGGAGGAGGGGCTCTGTAAGGAAGTGGCAGATTTTCTCCAGTTGTGTATTTTTTAAATTTTAGCGCACTCGAGCCAGTTTCTCAAATTACCTACCCCACCTTTCAGTCATATTCCATAATGTGTTTGAACTCTGCTTTTGTGAAATTAACCTATTCCTTACTGAAATCCTGTTTGAATCCAAGCAATGGCTGGAAATCATCTTGATTAGTTTGTCATTTTTTTTACGTACAGAATTATGTTTGATCACCCATTTCAACTCCGAACCGAGGAGCCAAATGATGCCTAAAGCTACTGTCCTTTTTGTAGCAACTAAAAGAATAGGCATCAGTCAACACAAATAAAAAAATACTTTAGTGAGAAACTACCGCATTATTGGTTGTTGAAAATCCATGATCTGCCTCTCAGACTGACTGAAGGGAATGATGTGCCTGCAGGCAGTGTGTAACAGATCTACACAAAGTGACTCAAACAGCACAGTAGGCAGATTCATATTGAAACATATCAGCTTGTCAGGAACCAATTTTTATTAATATCATTAATAATGTGTCATCAGCATCATCAATGAAATGAGTTAGTCTGTTTAAAGCAGAATCAAGTGTGCATTCATTGCCCTTCTTTTCTTGATGAACACGTCAGTTCCACAAAGCGAGGAAGAAAAAAGGAAGAAGGGGTAAAGGTGGGGGACAGAGTGGGGGGGGACTGCAGTGAAGGAGGAAACGCAGGGAAAACAACGTCTGGCGGAGCAGGAATCTCCCCCTTCACTGGGATATGATTGGTTTTTCCCTTGTGCAAGAATGACAACAAAAAGAAAATCAAAAAAACGGAAGAAAGTCAAAATGGTGCTCTAAAAACAAAGATGAGAGGAAGAGGGGGGATTGCTTGCTGGGATGTTGTGTTGTTGTTTTTGTTCCGTAAAAGCCACGTTAGGATTTGATGCAGTCGTCGTCGTCAGAGGTCTGGCTGCTGCTACTGGTTTCGGACTCTGAGTCCTCCTCGACGTTCTCCTCCGCCACACTCCTCCAGGGGGTGAAGTGGAGGGTGACCCCCCGCGCCCTGGGGAGAGCCCCGTTCCTCTGCAGGCCGTTCCTCTTCAGCTGTTCAGAGGACACACACAGTCAGACTCAATTCCAATCCAAAACCTTACACCCTCCCTTACCCACTCTTACTCAGCTTGCGGTCGGCCACATTAAGTGCCGCTCCAAATAATGGAGGACATAATATTTTCATTTTCAGGTTTCACTCTACAGTGACATGTCTCCATGCTTTAATGTTCAAAAAGCTCTTTATTTTGCACATACTGCCTGTGCTGCAGCACCTCTTTCAAAAACCTATATAACGCACTACAGGAGAGGGAAAACCACTAAAAGAATAATAGGGCCTCTTTAAAACCTTCCAACAGGGAGTCTGCATCAGTCCTGACTTAACCAGCTACCCTACCCAAGCCCCTAGGAAGTGTCGGGGCATTGAAGCACATTTTCGTAGGCCAATTGGTCATACTACAACTTCTGTCCCAAAAAGAGTTCTTCCCATTTTCTTACATTGGAGTATTAAGAGTATTATTTTATTTTAAGGTAAATGAACTATCCAGTACGAACACTTGAATATCCCTTATTTAAATAACTAGGTCCTAAAAGTTGGGAAATTAGCTGAAAGCCAAATCTAGAGCCGAGAGAGGCTGTGATGCTGCCGTGTTGGAGCGGATTGGAGGCGGGGTTTGAGTAAAAGTCATGTGCGCATGCTCTATGCTGAAGATCACAGGAAGAATGAGGGAAGAGCGGGTATTTCTGTCCTCGAAAGTCAGTGCCCTATGCAACACACGGTGTACGAATGTCAGTGCAAATATTTACTATTAAACTGCACAAATTGACATTTTTACACAGATGTAAACAAATTCACAGGTTACGATGAATTATACAAAATGTTTACATCACATATAAGTGTTTAATGTGTCCAATCTAGAAAATGGTTAACTGCATATGATTGTAAAGTTTTGTATGTTTACAGCGAGTGTCTCAAAAGCCAAGCGGTCCGTCATGGAGGGAGAGTGTGACGTGGCTGGCTGGAATTGGGCCTCTGGGTTTAAGTAGTGCAGTAGATCTTAAAGAGCCTTGGGGTGCTCACCTGCTCAGTTTTAGTCTGGAACTCTCGCAGCTCATCCTCCGTCAGAGGCTGGAAGTTGTCATCATTTTCTGGGTACTCCTGCCAGCCCATGGCCTTTAGCAACCTACAAATACAAAAACAGCTTTTGCTCAATTGATGGTCGCTTGGTAAAGTGATGACGTTTTTTATATGCATTTTGACTTTTCAAATTATTTAATTTTGAGTTCCTCAGAAAGTTGTATTTGTATATATGAAGTGTTAGTTTGTTAGGTGTATAATCTTAGAAATATGTAGCTTCATATACATGTTGAACAGACGGTTGAAGAACGGTGGCCATAATGTTTAAATATTTAGATTTTGGAATCAACTTGAGTTTTCCTTCAGGAGTTGGTGAAGATACATTAGATACAGCCGAATGGTCAAATGAGATCAGATCGGCTACAATCACTAAATCATGTTCTTGTTATTAATTCTAGAGATGAGATTGCATGTGAAACAGGCGAAACACTTGTGGCATAGCGCCCTCTCCTGGAATATAATTAAGGATATCTATTATAGGCGTGTGGCACAGCTGATCTTCGAATCAGAGGATTGCAAGTTTGAGTCCCACTGCAGTCAGCATGTCGTTGTGTCCCTGAGACACTTCACCCCAAAGTGCTCCTGTGGGGATTGTCCACAGTATTGAGTATGTAAGTCGCTTTGGATAAAAGCGTCTAACAAGTGACATGTAATGTATTACATTTTTTTCAGTTGAGTTTTTCTTAAAGAATATCGTTTTTGTTTTGTTTACAAGAATACTTTTCACTGCTATTCCATGTTTTATTTCACCATAATAGCCCATCTTTATGCGAGTGAGTGCCAGACGGTCGTACCTGTGCTCTGCCTCCAGGGAGCTGGACAGGTGTTCGGTGTCCGAGTCGCTGAGCGAGTAGGACAGACCGTTCTCGTGGCACACCTCCTCGTGGTAGACTTTGGGCTCTGGGGTGCTGCTCTCACCCTGAGAACATTCACACAGCACCACAACACTATTCAATCAATAAAAACCCATTGGAGTGGAGCAAACAACAACAGGACTTTGTAATTCTTGTGGATTATTATTTCGGCAATATTTAGCACTTTTCCAGAAAAAAGCCAACTAAATATCACGCAACAACGGTCTTGTGCAGACAGAAAGAATGTCTCTCTTTGGGACATTACATTCAAAAATATAATTAAATGGGGTTTCAGCTTTACAGGATATAATGCAACAGCACTATGAAAACCTGCCCATTTGTCATTTCCATAGCTACTTTGCTGTGTCATGGTTAAAGGAGAGGCACTTCAGGTCAATAGGCTCAAATCCCACAGTACTAGATATTACTATGAAACTACACAGTTGATGATGTACAGTAAGGTCATTATTTATTATATACAAAAGGTTGCAAAAAAATACAAATGATCTCATTAAAATGTGCTGATGTACAGACATTGGATAAGAGCCAGGTTCAAAATGCTTGTTTTACTTTGACATATTGGAGTGAGAAGTTTATATAAGGAGGGAATGTGGAATACTCCAAACACCTAAGTAAATATTTTTTACATTTGATACAAATGAATAAAGCACTTAGGGATGGACCTTTAACGTTTGTTGAAATTAAATGCTACTGAAGTGGATCGTTTGTGCTCAGCGATTAGCGAATGAGAAAAAACCTATTTTGAGACAATGGGCTTTAAAAAGATGTATTGCTAAAATTCATACATTTTGCAGGACACTACTTCTGAATAGATGAAGATAAATCAAATAATAACTATCACCATGAAACTTTTGGGGGGAGGAACTCTGCATATGTAAATAGACAAAGTAAGCACAAAGAAAGACATAAGAGCGTTGTGCAGCTTACCTCTCCTGAGGTTCCCGGGCTGCTGCTGGTCGTCCGCTCTCCGGTGCCCTCGTCCTTCAGAGCTCGCAGGAACTCGCTCTTACGGTCCGGACCGCGGCGCATCAGCTTAAGCCTTGACGGGGCGATGTCTATGGGAGGAGTCGTGCTGGAAGGGTGCTGCAGGGGCCGGGAGCAAAAGAAAAGAGAGTTCATAAAATCCTATTTTGGGACACTAAATTATCATCCAACGAAATCCACCTGGCCAGAACAGAAATGTTGGATGTGTTTTACAGTCAATAACCATAGAGAGCGACATGTTCCTGCACGGTGCAGCACAGTGACTGCTGCACAGGCAAACTCATTGCACAAATGTGAGTAAACATCTCTCTCAGAAAACCCCATAACGACTATGTTTAGATTGAACCTGTGATTTAGTCACACCGGCACTCACGCAGCCATGAGAGCCAGACACAGACGGACACAAGGACTTTCAAACCATCGCAAGGGCTCCCTCAACAAAAAGCAAGGGGATTTTACTCTTGGATTTTGGAACATTCCACATGTTGTCATTTACACGTTTTGTTCGGCAGGATAATTTCCACATATTAACATCACTTTTGTAATTGTTAAAGTGTAAATGCTATTGCCGGAAGTAATAAAGCTGACGTTAGGCTGTAAACAAACAACATCACGGTCGCATGGCTGCGCATCACATAGATTATTTAGTCACTTGCTAGCAACCACTATTTTTATGAAACACAGTAGGGACACAATTCTGACTTTTACGAGTGGGGGTACTGACATATTTAAAATCGTAGAACCCAACGTGAAAATGTCTTTAGTTTGTGTTGACAACAGATCTTCGTCCAGGCGTCTGACCAATAACGCTACAGGAAGATGTTGACTTCAACCAGAGAGAGAAGTGACTAAATGCTAACTAATTTCCGCACTCATACGGCACCACTATATAAACACAGTTTGAAAAGAAAAGAAAAATGCATCCTCATGGGGCTTGAAAATCCCCCCTCGCACTCTCTGACCTAAAAGATATTTGTTTGTCTTTTCCCTCCTTACCTCTTTCGTGGGGTTGTGCTGTGGTGCGCTGAGGGGGGGACTGGGTTTGGCTGCAGAGACGGGGCTGGTGAACACTGAGTCTCGGCCCGGCATGTGGAGGCCAGACTTAGTGATCTCTCTACCACCGGATTTCCACTGGTTGCTCTGGAAAAGAGGACATACGAGATAAAAGCACACACTTTGCACAGTATCATTTTTATATTTCTTAGAAGAAGGCTAATATAAAATGTATTATCACTTATGTCATGTATATTGTAAAGACACTATTCAGATAGATACAGTATCTCTCTACTGTTGATATTAATATACAGAATTTAACTATATTTTGACCTCGTTTGTAATGCTAAGTTAACATGCTGTTGTAAAAAAGAAAAGCATATTCCAATTTGGGATCAATTAAGAATCTTATGTCATCTAAAAATATTCATACTTTGGTGGGGGCCACAGCAGGCTTGGGGACCAGGTTCTTGTAAATGCTGGAGCTGGCCATGGGGGTTTTGCTGCCGTTGATGGGCAGGATGCCGGCGGAGGCGAACCCCGCAGAGAAGGCGGTGCCGGGGTCCTCCTTGGAAAGCTTCTTGATAACCAGCATTTTGGACACCATCTGTTTGCCACTAGGGGGGTTTTCTGGAACACAAATCAGTGATCAAATGTTACCCAGCTGCAGTGGAACACTAAGGTTAGCCTTTTCAACCATCTTTTTTTTAAATGTAAAAGTGCTCTATTATTCTTTTTGGAGTTTCCACTTTACTGTAGTGTGTTATAAAGGTTTGTGTGCATGTAAATGGTCTGCAAAGGCTAAAACGCACACAAATCTGAAAATGAGCATAATAGGGGCCCCTTTAAGAGAATCAACGCAGTCTTACCCCATACTCCAGCATGGGGAGCCACCGCTCGCATCGGAGTCCCAGGTTTTCCAGTTGTTTCAGGGTTGAGGGAAGGCTTAAAAGACAAAACACCCGCATTAAATAAGGAAGCTATTCAACACAAAACTGATTCTCAGTGTGCCTGTACTAAGTCTAGATATGGATATTGTTTATTCTTTTGGAATATTGGATATTGAAAGTGTTGTCTTTTCTGTTGTTGCTCACTCTTTAAAGACTGCATCACAGTACAGTAAAATCATTTTCTTAACGTAACAGACTTTTCAATCTATTATTTGCTTTTACCCATTTATTTCTGTAAATCCACATTACTGACGATTTTGTGAAAGCATCACAAGTCAACCCTACAACTGTTTTGTTGTATAGATAGCTTGCACCTGCTTTCTTTTAATAAAGTAAAGCATTTGACAGAAAGTGGAAAATAAATGCTATTCCTTTACACTAGGAGTTTATTTGTGCAGTAACCTTTTTGAGATTAGTTGACGTGAGAGAAAGCCCTGCAAATGTAAGTCATTTAAAAATTCTATAAAACATTTAAAATGTGTTGGTATGTGTTTATTGACTTTCTGTACCAACACTATGAGCAGGTTAGAACATTACATTTGATGTGGGACTAGGCCTTTTTTAATTTTTATCGTGGTATTGAAAGAGTTACAGACCCTTGTTTTCTTAAGTCTAGTGTGTCGAAGTTTAAAATTCTGGTATAGCGACAACTAGGGATGCTCCGATCGATCGGCCACCGATCGGTATCGGCCGATACTCACTCTCTGCCGATCAATATCGGCCGATACTCACTCTCTGCCGATCGATCGGTGCTCTCTAAAAATGCCGATCGCGAGAGCCGATCGCATGACGTAAAATACATCACACTTTTCTCTGTGTGCAGCAAACCAAGCTCGCCAAATAGGCTTCACCGGTCTGGCAGTTTTTTAAGGTGTCCGAAAAAGACAGTAAAATAGTGGTATGCAACGTGTGTGAAGCAGAAATCCTGCAGCTCCGCCCGCTGTGACGGACCGGTGAGCGGAGCAGAACACACACTAAGAGTTAGACCTAACACACTTAGCTCAGGGTTCCTGCAGGTTTCGCCAACTCAAATTTAAGACTTTTTAAGACCAATTTGAATAGAATTTAAGACCTATTTCACGGCAAGAAAGTATGAAGGAAAATTGCTATGAAAGAAGAAATACGTCCCATAATTACTATAAGTAAATGTATTCATGTTCAACATAAGAACAATGACTGAACATAACAGCATAACAGTACAGAATTGCGTTAGCGTGTTGGATTAAAAAGTGTGTGTGTGTGTCGGTTCGGGCTGTGCAATTAATCGTATTTTAAATCGCAATCACGATGTTGGCCTGCACTATTACGAAAACAAAATAATCGAAAAAAACGATTATTTTGCTTTGCTAGGTTGTGACTTTAGTCTAATTTATATTTATTTATCATATTTATATATGTTTAGTAGCTTGTGGAAGTGCGCTCCAACATATTTGTTGATCTTATTTATTGGTATTTATTATTTTGATATTATTTATTTAAATATATCATTTATTTAATACATTTTTGTATTGGTTTTTCAGATGAATTATACGTTCAGGGTAATCAACAGTTAAAAAGATACTGTTCAAATTATTATTTGTTTTAAAGTTCAATAAATGGATGTTTTAAAAGTCAATGAATAATCGTATTTAATAATCGTGATATTAATTATTGACCAACATAATCGTGATTATTGCCATAATCGAGCAGCCCTAGTGTGTGGTGTGTGTGTGTGTGTGTGTGTGTGTGTGTGTGTGTGTGTGTGTGTGTGTGTGTGTGTGTGTGTGTGAGAGAGAGAGAGAGTGACAAGAGCTAAATTCAGAGCTCTGCTGCCTTGGCTACAATCTTCCATCGTTGCTGTTGTATGATTGGCGTTTAGCTACGGTATTTAGCGTCGACAGAACCTCCGCTTTTAGGGTTGACGTAGACCCAAACGTCGCCCGGAGGTCCCCCGGTGTTGTTGCGGGAGCTGCTGCACTATCTAACGCTGCACTAGCTAACGCTACATTAGCAAAACAAACGCTAATTTATTTTGCAAAAGGTGCGGCGGGCTTCAAACACGTTCCCCTCCACTGGTTTCAACCAAGCACTAAATTCGATGTTTTCCAACCAAATACGGTTGAACTTACACTTCCCCATATGAATTTGTAAGTAGATTCGAAGATACATCAGTTTCTGACTGCCCATAGTGCCGCTAGCTGAAGCTTGGTTGCTAGCTTACTAGCTGGGTGTTCTCCAATAAGGGGCCGGGGGAAACAAAGTTAGTGATTACTGGTTCCATGTTGATTTAATTCAATACAAATTGTTAGGGGGAACTGAAAGGCTATTACCGTACTGGTTACTTTTTA